GCTCAGAGGGCCTTGTACCGGGACGTGATGGAGGAGACCTATAGGAACCTACTGTCTGTGGGTGAGGATCACTTCCCTGAGAAGTTGGAATCTGATTTGGGGGTATCTCTGCATTTTCCCTCTGTGTCTCTTGGGAGCTCCTGTTGTGCTTGACTGAGTTCATAGCCTTGTCCTTTCTTCAGGTGATCTGCCTACTGTGTGATACACAAGTTTCTCCACAGCTTGAGTATTTATAAAGCTGATTTCGAAGTTTAAAATATCCAATTCCCTGTTTTTTACACCTGTGTTCTTGGTTCACTAGTTCTTGGAAAGGAACTATGCACACATGCCTGTGTGCTCAGTTGGTACAGTAGTGCCTGACTCTTTGCGACCCAGTGGACTGTAGCCCTCCAGGCTTCTCTATCCATGGGATTCTCCCGGCAAGAGTGCCATGCCCTTGTCCAGAGGGATCTTCCCCCACAGGGGTTGAACCCACATCTCCTGGGTGGCAGGTGGATACTTTATCTTTGATCCCTGGGGAAGCCCAGGTATCTGCATATTATACTGTATATTCTACTGTTTCCTGTGCATTCAGAAGGACGCACATAGTAAATTAACTTGTGAATATTTTTCTGTCCATCTGTAATGTCCATCACTTCTTGGCTGACCAAAGATGTGGAATTCTACACCTAGCAATGCAGGAGACACAGGGCCTAGGTCCTCTCTAAAGCAAGCCTCTGAGCTTGCTTCTAACCTGCCTGGACACTGCCCTGACTGCCTGCTGTGAGTGCAAGGCTTGCAGCACCAGAGAGAAGATAGGGGACAAATATTGAGATTGTTGAGCCCTTGGAGGGGCCCTAGCCTACTCAGCCACAGGATTAGCAGCACTGTAAGTTTTGTAAGACAAACAAATAGCATTGACATGCAACCAAGGCTGCTATTTGCTCACAGATTGCTGATGAATACAGTTAGCATCCTGGGATTATAAGCGGGAACCCCAAACTGCAATCTTTTAGTCTCACCCATGACCGTAACACGCTGCCTGGGACCTTTTCCCCACTGAGTCTCCAGATGAGCTGTGTCCTGGGATTTTCCAGCACTGTTTGAGTCTGGATGTTGGTCAGAACCCAATTTGGTGATATATCTTCTGCTGTGTTTCTACTTCTTTTTTCTTTTAATGCTAGCATATTGAAAGTCAGCTTGATAATTCTATAAAAGTATTTGTATTATTTATTTCTACAGAAGCAGTGGCTTATTTTATTAACACATCTTTGAGACGAAAGTGACAACATTTGGCAAAACTTTTAATTGGCCCTGTGAGCAGTATTTGTGAGACAAAATGCCACTCTGTAAGAAGAAGGAGGTTAAGGTTGAGGAAGTTTTTATTCCCTAATAGGAAGATTTGCCTTACTACTAGTTAGCTGATAGCTGATACATGGGACGTCTTCACTGGATGGTGTGAGAATTGGAACCTTAAATTAAAGAGGGCTGTACCTTTAGAAGTTACTGAATGATTGTGACTCTCGCCTGTTGAGAAAGGATAAGAATCTGCCATGCTGGATGAGAGGCTGGATCCTTCTCTCTCCTACCGTGAGGTACATAAAATGAAAGGGAAACTCGCTCAGTCGTTTCGAAGTCTTGGCGACCCCCTGGACGATAGAGTCCATGGAATTTTCCAGGCCAGAGTTCTGCAGTGAGTAGCCTTTCCCTTCTTCAGGGGATCTTCCCAACCCAGGGATTGAACGGAGGTCACCCTTTCATTGCTGGAGGATTCTTTACCAGCTGAGCCACCAAGGAAGTACATGAGGTACATAAAGCGATCTTAAAATTGTCTGAAGAGAAGTTACAACTAGAAACAGAATTATGCGGTTAGTGACGATGGTTGTCCATATTACAATGTCAAATTATCTATTAGCTGATCAAATTCTCATTTTTTAAGTGGGCTGTCTCCTGAGCTGGCCCACATCTCTTAATAGTGTCCCGCATTGCCCTTTCTGTCTCCGTTATCTCTATCCTGTTGTGGCATTTCACCCCTCCCACCCCTCTGTCTCCCTCTCCATTAGCTAGTCCTCTTCTAACTTCCCCTGTCTCTCAGTGGGGACGGGGAGCCCAGCTTCCCCCACTCCTGCCCCCACTCTAGCAAGTTTCTTTACCCCTTCAGATTCTTCTGATCAAATGAAGACCCCCAACTCCCCAGATGGACAATCTATGATTTTTATCATCCGTCTGCCCCTGTTAACCACAGGCAATTTGAGCACTGTTTGCTCTGTATTTTAGATATAAAACTGTGACTATAGAAAGGGAAGAGAAGTTTTTTCACACAGGGATTGCTGTGATATTATTTAGACTCTGGAGAAAACTGGTTAAAATGATTTTTCCTTTTTTTTTTTGAAAGTACAAAACCATTTCTTTTTGCATATGGAATAAAAACAGCTAGCTTCTTAAAAAGCCCTGCCTACAGAAAATCTTGAAGTTAACCTTTACCAGTGATCCCAGATGACTCTAGTGGTTAAGAAGCTGCCTGCCAGTGTGGGAGATGCAGGAGATGTGGGTTCAATCGCTGGCTTGGGCAGATCCCCTGGAGGAGGGAATGATACCAACTCTAGTAAAGTCAGAGAGACATTGGAATGAAAACTGACCTTTGCCAGTCCTGTGGCCACTGCTGAGTTTTCCAAATTTGCTGGCGTATTGAGTGCAGCACTTTCACAGCATCATCTTTCAGGATTTGAAATAGCTCAGCTGGAATTCTATCACCTCCATTAGCTTTGTTCGTAATGATGCTTTCTAAGGCCCACTTGACTTCACATTCCAGGATGTCTGGCCTCAAAGGTTACTTTTGCTTAAAATGTATATTTAATTCATGTGAGAAGGCAATGGCACCCCACTCCATTACTCTTGCCTGGAAAATCCCATGGACAAAGGAGCATGGTAGGCTGCTGAGAGTTGCACACGACTGAGCAACTTCACTTTCCCTTTTCACTTTCGTGCACTGGAGAAGGAAATGGCAACCCACTCCAGTGTCCTTGCCTGGAGAATCCCAGGGACGGGGGAGCCTGGTGGGCTGCCGTCTATGGGGTCACACAGAGTCGGACACAACTGAAGTGATTTAGCAGCAGCAGCAGCATGGTTATTGTGACATGTCTGTTCTCTGCATTACATCCTATATATTGTTAGTTTACATTTCCTTCCCAAGAGTTTGTGACTCTAGTTAATAAATTTTCAAATAATATTACTCTTTTATAGCAGATTCTTTACCTCTTAGCCATAAGAAACGCCCTAAAGCTTGTTCCTTTACATGTATCTTAGAGCCGATGAACCGAGTAAGTGAATGATACTATATAGATAGGCAATTGCTGTATTGAGTGGCTATTATTTAAGTAGAGATTGTTTCATTTATTAATTCTTTGTCATTTAAAGATGATGGTCTTCATGTTTTACACAGTATGACATGAACCACTTGTTATAAAATACCTATTCGTCTGTTTCCTTATAGATTTATAGGAGGTATTTAGAAAAGTGTTCTTTTTTGTAAAAATTATTTTAGGGAATTCCCTGACAGTCCAGTGGATAGGATTCAGCACTTTCACTGCAGTGATCCTGGGCTTAATCCATGGTTAGGGAGCTAAAATCTCATAAGCCCTGATGGAGAGGGGGGCTGTTTTAACAAATTCTTTATTTTCACTATGCAGTATTTGTTGAACAGTTGTCAACTGCCATTTATGTTTTACAGTATTTGTTCGAATGCTTCCCTTGGATTATTTACCATTACAGTGTATTGCCTTGTTGATCCTTTCTTGCTGATCGCTCAGTCCTGTCTGACACTTTGTGGTGTCATGGACTGTAGCCCGCCAATCTACCCATCTGTGGAATTTTTACTATTTTTATCCTCAATTATGAGACAGAAGTGTGTTTACTACCAAGTAGAACGAGCTTTGAGATCGTGGTGAGAAAAGATCTTTTTCTTTGAGAACTGACATGGGTTTGCATAAAATGAATGTTTTCGTGATTGTGTCTTTCAAACTTGGGTACTCTAAAATTAATTTGAATTCTGTGTGATCGCTCTTTTCTTTTTTAAAGAGTTGTATTCCGATAGTGTTCCTTATGTTTTTAAGTTCATCATTGGGAAGATTCATAATACAGTTTAGGATGGGTAGGACTTTTGGTATAATATCATGTGTTCAACAGGAAAAAATTTATTTATGAATTGTGATTAATAGGATTCCTATGGTTCTTTATATCTTGTAGATGTGTCTCGTATAGGTATGACCATGAAATTACAAGTAAAAGGAAACAGTGGAAAAGGAGAAATTTTTCAAAGAGTGATATTTGGGAGAGCTGAAACTCATGAAATTAAAGATTTTTTCCTCAGGAAGATACAGGAAACTGTGGATGGTTTTGAGAGTCTGTGGACAGATAATGAAAGAAGAGACAATGGAATATCTATATCCCATAACAAAAATCTCCCTGATGGAAAAGATCATCAGAGTAGAAATGATGCAGGAGAAAAGCCTGTTGAAAAGCATGGATCAAACTTTCATCATGAATTGCAGATGCTTCAATCTGAAGGGACAATTTGTGAATGTAGTCAGGTTGTGACGAGTATCAACAGTAGTGTCTCAGTTTTGCCACCTCAGAGAATTCATAATGTCTGCAAAGGCATTTCTCATAAAAATGAGTGTGCTGTTACGCATCCCTCAGAACAGGCCCTCGACCAGAAAGGACACAAGAAAAAATCTTACAAAAGTAATGAGTGTGGCATAACCTTTCTTCAGCACTCAGAACTCACTAGACATCAAAGAATCCATACAGGAAGAAAACCATATAAAGCGGACGTATGTTGCAAGGGGTTTAATGATAATGTGAGCCTTGTAGTTCATCAGAGACATCATACTGGAGAGAAACCGTATAAATGTGATGTATGTAGCCACAGCTTTAAACAGAACACAGCGCTTCAAATTCATCTGAGAGTTCATGCTGGAGAGAGAACATATAACTGTGATGTATTTGGCCACTGCTTTAAGCACAATGCACACCTTCAAAATCATGGGAGAACTCATACTGGAGAGAAACCATATAAATGTGATATGTGTGGAAAGGCCTTTACTCGCAAAGAAAGCTGGGCACTTCATCCGATCCTTCATACTGGAGAGAAACTATATAAATGTGATATATGTGGCCGTGGCTATACTCGAAGCAGACAACTTGCAATTCATCGGAAAGTTCATACTGGAGAGAAGCCATATACATGTGATGTGTGTGGCCGTGGCTATACTCGAAAGTCAGACCTTGGAATTCATCAGAGAGTTCATACTGGAGAGAAGCCATATAAGTGTGATCTCTGTGGACAGGCCTTTACTCGCAAAGAAAGCCACACAGTTCATCAGATCCTTCATACTGGAGAGAAACCTTACAAATGTGATGTATGTGGCCGTGGCTATACTCGAAGCAGACAACTTGCACATCATTGGAGACTTCATACTGGAGAGAAACCATATAAATGTGATGTGTGTGGCCGTGGCTATACTCAAAAATCACAACTTGGAATTCATCAGAGAGTTCATACTGGAGAGAAGCCATATAAGTGTGATCTCTGTGGACAGGCCTTTACTCGCAAAGAAAGCCACAGAGTTCATCAGATCCTCCATACTGGAGAGAAACCATATAAATGTGATGTATGTGGCCATGCCTATACTCGAAACAGACAACTCGCAGTTCACTGGAGACTTCATACTGGAGAGAAACCATATAAATGTGATGTGTGCGGCCATGGCTATCCTCGAAAGTCACAACTTGTAATTCATCAGAGAATTCATACTGGAGAGACTCCTTATAAATGTGATGTATGTGGCTGTGGCTTTACTGGAAAGAGACAACTTAGAATTCATCAGAGTATTCATACTGAAGTGAAATCTTACAAATGTAACAACTGTGGCAAACTTTTTTTTGCATTGTCATCCTTAAATAAACATCAGGCAGTTCAAACAGATGAGAAAGCATGTAAATGTAATTTGTGTGGCAAAATGTTCATTTCCAGGTGTTGCCTTTCAGTTCATCAAAAAACTCATACTGGAGAGAAACCATATAAATGTGATGTATGTGGCCGTGGCTATACTCGGAAGTCAGACCTTGGAACTCATCAGAGAGTTCATACTGGGGAGAAACCATATAAGTGTGATCTCTGTGGACAGGCCTTTACTCGCAAGGACAGCCACACAGTTCATCAAATCCTTCATACTGGAGAGAAACCACATAAGTGTGATGTATGTGGCCGTGGCTATACTCGAAGCAGACAACTTGCAATTCATCAGAAAGTTCATACTGGAGAGAAGCCATATACATGTGATGTGTGTGGCCGTGGCTATACTCGAAAGTCAGACCTTGGAATTCATCAGAGAGTTCATACTGGAGAGAAGCCGTATAAGTGTGATCTCTGTGGACAGGCCTTTACTCGCAAAGAAAGCCACACAGTTCATCAGCTCCTTCATACTGGAGAGAAACCTTATAAATGTGATGTATGTGGCCGTGGCTATACTCGAAGCAGACAACTTGCACATCATTGGAGACTTCATACTGGAGAGAAACCATATAAATGTGATGTGTGTGGCCGTGGCTATACTCAAAAATCACAACTTGGAATTCATCGGAGAGTTCATACTGGAGAGAAGCCATATAAGTGTGATCTCTGTGGACAGGCCTTTACTCGCAAAGAAAGCCACACAGTTCATCAGATCCTTCATACTGGAGAAAAACCGTATAAATGTAATATATGTGGCCGTGGCTATACTCGAAACAGACAACTTGCAATTCATTGGAGACTTCATACTGGAGAGAAACCATATAAATGTGATGTATGTGGCAAGGCCTTTAGATTAAAAGGAAGCCTTACATCTCATGAGAAAACTCATACTGGATAGAAAGCATATCAATGTGATGTATGTGGCAAGGTCTTTAGTTTCAAATCAGCCCTTTCAGTTCATCAAAGAAATACTGCAGAGAAACCTTACAAATTAACAAGAGTGATAAAGGTTTTAGTGCACAGTCATCCTTAACTCTCCATCAGGCAGTTTATACAGGAGAGAAAGCATAGAAATGTATCTATGGGGCAAAGTCTTCAATTCCAGCTGTTACTTTGCAGTTCACTGGAGAACTCATATTCGAGAGATGTTTGTGGCAAGGCCTTTAGTCAAACTGCAAATCTTGCAATTCATCGGAGAATTCATACTGGAGAGTAAGCATATGAATGTGTTGTCTGTGGCAAGGCCTTTAGTCATATTGGTAAGCTTGCAGTTTATCCAAAATCATACTGGAGAGAAACCATATAAGTGTGTTGTGTGTAGCTGATCCTTTACTTGAAGTGCACAACATGGAATTCATCAGAGAATTAATACTGGAGAGATAACATGAATGTGATCTCAATGTCGAGGCTTGTAATCTAAACACAAACCTTGTGTTTCATCAGAGAATTCATATTAGAGAGAAACCTTACAATTGAAACAATGGTTACAAACTTTAGTGCTTAGTCAGCCTTAACTCACCATCAGGTAGTTCGTACAGGAGAGAAAGCATAGAAATGTGATGTATGTGGCCAGTGTTTTACTTGAAATGACCATCATAGGAAGCATCAGATAATTCATAGTGGAGAAAACAGTTACAAATGGAACAATTGTGAGAAGCAAATTAGTGCAACTGTAATAAGTGTGGCAAAGCCTTTAATCTGAGTTCAGGACTTATAATTCACCAGAGAATTCATACTGTATAGAAAGTGTACAAATGAATGTGGCAAAGCTTCTAGTTCATGTTCAGCCTTAATTGACCATTTGGCAGTTCATACAGGAGAGAAGCCACATAAATGGAATTTATATGAAAAAGCCTGCAGTCACAAGGCATGACTTTCCAGATCATCTGAGAATCAATACTGCAGTGGAAACATACAAATGTAGTGACTGCAGTAAAGTATGTGAAGTCTTTGACCTTCCGAAGAGTCAAACTGGAGGAAACTGCACAAATGTGGTTGATGTGGCAAAGGCTTGATTCTGTATTCAGATCTAACTAATCCTCAGGTAATTAATTCTGAATTTAAATCTTACCCAGCTAGTGCATGTGGTAAGTCTTTTGGATGGCATTCAGTTTTTTACAAAACATGAGAAAATGCCTACTGGCGAGATTTCATGCATTCAGAGCACAGTCAATCTCCAGTGGAGGAAATCATGTAAATACATGCTGCCAGGATTTCAATAACGGGCTGATCATTCCCATCATCAGAGAATTCATAATGCAAAGAAATCTTACAAATATGAATGTGACAAATCCTTCAGGTGGCATACAGGCCTAAAAATACATCAGGTGACCCATACTCAAGAGGACTTCCAAAGATAATCAGTGTGGCCAGGCATTTTGTTTACACCTTAGGCTTCTTGAGAATATTCACAGTAGATAAAAACTGTGTCAATAAGTATGTCAGGTTTTTCAGTAACAATCCGAATTCAAGCTTCAGTAAAGAAGTTATTTTGGAGAGAAAGCTTACAAGTGACATGAGTATGTAAAACCTTTACTCGAGGTCACATCTCACCAACCATCAGATCATACATACTACAAAGAAGCTTACTAGTGCAGAGTATGTGGCAAGGCTTTTAGGTGCACAACTCAGTGTTCAGCAAATACTTTATACTTAGAAATGTAACTTTCTGTCAGTTGTCACTGCTCCCTCTTTAGGTATCTAAGAACATAGATCCTGTATATAAACTACACAAATACAATATTTTTTGAAGGAATTTTACCCAAACATCCAAGTTGGGAAACATTCTGGAGCAATGCTTTACAAATGCAATGGAGGTGGAGAAAGTTTCAGCTTGAGATGAAGTATTAGACAACAAGGCTCCATAGTAAAGAGGAGTCTTAGAATTGGATGTGGAATGCCTTTCTGCAGGCTTCAGAGTGCACTAGACTTTAGAATATATGTTTCAGAGAAACCACACAGAAGCAATTTGCACACTAAAGCCTTAACCCAAAGATCAAAATGATGGAACCTCAGAGGGCAAGCTTACAGAAGTAATGAATTTTTTCATGAGATATTCACACCTTGGGTGTGATTTATGCAGGTCAGAAACTACAGATACACTGAATTTGGAAATACATGTGAGAAAACATATTTCCTCAAGATTCCCCCCAAAATTCATATTGGGGAGAATTCTTAGAATTGTAATGACTTAAAATTACTTAAATTTACTTAAAATTGTAAAATTTTGGGACAGTTCTAACAACAGATCACACAAGATGACTCATTTTAGGAATAAATAAATCTTTAGTTTTCTAACAATTAACCTGTGTTATGGCAGTATAATTAAGTATGTTGAAACTTCATGACCTGTGGAAATGATGGCTAATCTTCAGTATGTATTAAGTTTTCTTGAGAAGGTGATGTTATTTTTTTATGGCATGTCTGCAAGGTTTGAAAGCTTTTATAGCTTTCTTAGGGACTTTCATGATGGCTTCTGCAAAGAAGGCAGTAAGATGAAGGGGCAGACTTCATTAGGTGTGGTTCATTAATATCCATCTTTCATGGGTAAACACGGACACTAAAATATCAAATTCAATGGTGTGTGAATTAGGATCAGTGAGGGACTGTGAACCATGTCAAACCATGACATGATTCAGCATGCTTATTATGTTCAGGATGCCCTTCTGTACACAGGCCACCATGGTAATAGGACTGAATGCTGCACCATCTGACCATGCAAAGAGCAGGCTGGATATAAGGAACTTCAGCTTTTCATGGGAGGAGAGTTGACAGTTTACTGGAGACTGGTTACATGGGAGAAATTATAGCAGGGAAATGCTGGTCATTTTCTCCCTTAACAGGCGATTGCCATTGCATATAATTCTTGGAAATTGAAGAAAATGGAATCAAATGAACCAGAGCAGTATGCGTGTGTATCTGTTTCATCATTGATTGCTGCCATTTATGTTGTACCTCTGTTTTCTTCAGAATGTATCCTAAGTCTTGTGATCTAATAAAATTTGTATCATTTTTCCCATAACCCTGAATGGATCATGTTTCTTCCAACAACACAGTTTTTCGCCACCTCAATACTTCATAACAGAAACGAGGAATGCACCAAAGGCTCTCCAGGTAGAAAGAATGTAGAATTTCTTTTCCTACTGACATCACACAATAGACAATTTTGGGATTATATACTAATACTTTGCACTTGAGTTATTACACCACACTCTGTCCATAACAAAACAATTATATTTCCCTATGTCCTCTTGTGCCAAAATGAAACTAATAGCATGTGCCTAATTTACATGAGGTGAAAATAGGAATAATAAATGTGCAAAAATTAGGAAATAAAAAACTTTGGAAATAAGGTTAAAAGTGATAGCTCTTTTTGAGCTGGGAGCATTCTGAAATAAATTATTTTTTGTTACTCATTTGTTATTGGTCATATAGTCATATCTCCAAAGTATGTAGGAATTTCCCAGATCAGGGATCTGTCCCATGTCTCCTCTTTGGCAGGCAGATTCCTTACCACTGAGCACCAGGGAACACCCGGAGATAGTTCAGAATCCACACTATATGATGGGAATTTTTTTTGTTTGATAAACTAAAAATTTCATATATTCAGTCCCCAAAATGTTGGTTCTTGTTACTTTGCAGTCACTGAAAGAACAAGATGGAGCCAAACCCAAAGTTTGGTTTCGATTTTGAGATGAAGCCATATGTTGAACTCTTAAGAGAATGTTTGTTAACTGCTGAAGCTTTCTAATCGAAGCATGGTAGCCTTCCAAGCTGTTCACTTCAGTTCAGTCACTCAGTCATGTCCTACTCTTTGTGACCCCAGGGACTGCAGCATGCCAAGCTTCCCTGTCCATCACCAACTCTTGGAGCTTGTCAAACTCATGTCCATTGATTCGGTGATGCCATCCAACCATCTCATTCTCTGTCATCCCCTTTTCCTCCAGCCTTGAATCTTCCCCACATCTGGGTCTTTTGCAGTGAGTCAGTTCTTCACATCAGGAGGCCAAAGTATTGGAGTTTCACCTTCAACATCAGTCCTTCCAATGAACACCCAGGACTGATCTCCTTTAGGATGGACTGGTTGGATCTCCTTGCAGTCAAAAGGGCTCTCAAGGGTCTTCTCCAACACCACAGTTCAAAACAATCAATTCTTTGGCCCTCAGCTTTCTTTATTCCAACTCTCACATCCATACATGACTACTGGAAAAAACATACCTTTGACCAGATGGATTTTTGTTGGAAAATAATGTCTCTCCTTTTTAAGATGCTGTCTAGACTGGTCATAACTTTTCTTCCAAGAAGCAAGTGTCTTTTAATTTTGTGGATGCAGTCACCATCTGCAGTGATTTGGGAGTCCAAGAAAATAGTCTGTCACTGTTTCCCCATTAATTGTCCATGAAGTGATGGGACCAGATGCCATGATCTTAGTTTTCTGAATGTAGAGTTTCAAGCCAACTTTTTCACTATCCTCTTTGATTTTCATCAAGAGGCTCTTTAGTTCTTCGCTTTCTTCCATAAGAGTGGTGTCATCTCCATATCTGAGGTTATTGATATTTCTCCTGGCAATTTTGATTCCAGCT